CTTTCTTAAAATAATGTTTTACTAAGCAAGGAATTTTAATTTCATACTATCGCTATTTGTAATTGACATTAAATTTTGCTGATTTTTGAAAATAGAAAAAAAATATAAATCGCTACCCTATTCAGGTAAATATCAAGGTTATAACCTTCATAACCTTTGATAATTACCTGTATAGGGTGTAAATTATGAATATTGCACAATATATGAAATTTCTAAATAAAAAGACGAGTCAATAAATAATTAAACCTTTTTTTTTAAAAAAAATGACAGAAGAAATTAATAAATACCTTATTTAGATAGAGAATCTATTGCCTACGATTATTTGAATTTTTATGAATATTCAAACTTCAACAATATACAATCAATAGGAAGTGGTAATTTTGAAAAAGTTTCTCTTGCTAATTAAAAAACAGTGATGCAATTTTTGCCTTGAAGTCATTTGACAATTCTGAGTTAACGTTAAAAGATATTGTCAATGAGGTTATTAAATATAATGATTTTAATGCAAGTTCAATAACTTGAAAATTACAGTAAATATTAAATTATGCATATTTTATAGATTAAATTACAAAAGAAAGTTGATTCCTATTCAAATATTTTACGATTTTATGGAATTACAAAGATAGAATTCAGTAAGAATAAAATAATACTACATCTTAAAAATTTAAGATGAATATTTATTTATACTATTTTGTTTAGATGCAGCAAATAAATACTTATTAGTTTTAGAATATGCTGATGGTGATACATTAAATAATTATTTAAGATTGGAATGACAAATATCAGCTAGCATTTCAATTAGCGAGTGCAATAGAATGTATTCATAATAATAACATTATATATTATGATTTGGTAAATGATTGTTTCATTTATATGTATATAATATTTATATTTAATAGAGTCATTATATTAAATTTCTTTTGATCGCAGCATGCAAATAACATACTTATTTATCAGAAAAGCATCAGGATAGCAGATTTTGGTGAATCAAGAAAAATTATTGAAGCTTCAAACAACGTAAGAAATTTTAGCGTAATACCTTATATAGATCCAAAATGTTTAAATAATCAAAAAAAAGAGCTATGTAATGAATAAAAAATCCAACATTTATAGTATTAGAGTCTTGATGTGACAAATTTCAAGTGGTTGTAAACCATTTAATAATGTAGATTATGATGTAGATTTATCTTTAAGTATTGTAGGTGGAAAAAGAGAGAAAATAATCAAAAGCATTCCATTCGAGTACAGAGTCCTATATCAAAGTAAGTGATACTAATGATTTTAGTAATTTGTATTTTTGGTTATTTATTATTTATTTATATCATTAGAATGTTGGAAATATGATTTAAAAAACGTTCAAATATAAAAGAGGTTGTCTCAATACTTAAAAAAATAGCTTCTCCTGATGTTGAACATAAGGAAGAAAGTAATCTATCAACAAATGATGAATCCAGCCTTATATCTGATGTATCAAGTGAAATAAAGATAGATAATGATGATTTGATATTATTTGAATTATATGATCAATTTAAAAATATTCAATTTGAAAATAATTTAAGTTTGATCAATCAAAAGATTTTAGATATAACTGAAGTTAAATTTAATTTATCAAATCCGTCTTTTCAAATTGCCAATTTATCAAAAAGCTCATTAGATTTATTAGAATCAATATATAATAATACAATTAATAATATTGATAAGCTAATCGATTATTTAAATAAAAAATATAATGAAGGCATCTTTTCTTTTGATCAAATTGAAATTCTTATTAATAGGCTATTATTGCAATTAAATCAATTCATAAATACCTTCAAAATATATTGATAGAATCATTAATCAAAAAATATTGGAAAGACTTGAATGTTACAACATAGTTTTTCACTTTCATAAACCTTATCAGCAACTTTTTGTTAGTTTAACCTATAAGATCCTCTTCAATCAACTGGTCTACCTCTTTCAAGGTTTTCTTCTCAAACAATATTACAATGTTTGATTCAAACTAATGTATTTTGTTCAATATTTGTCTTTTCGAGTTATATCAGTTCTATTATTTTATTTCTTAGTTTAGCTCATTATTTTCTTCATGACTGATAAAGAAATTAGGAATTCGTCTCCTTGAGAAAAATCAAATTCTTGTCTCAATACAGAGACTGTAATGTATCCATTAATCTCTATACTTTAAAATATCTAGTAGTTGAGAGCTCTTTATATTAAAAGATTTTATCTTTGTTTCTCGAGAAATTTTTTATTGTTCAAAATATTCTCCAAATCAATGATAAGTCAATTTAATATAAAGAAGGCTCACAACGAATAATAATTTTAAATTATTCTTATTTCTGACATAAATCAATAAGAAATACTCGTTATTTTTTGTAATTCTACATGTATATACATTTGTATTTCAATATTTTCTTATATTAGTTTGAAAGGACTTATGAAGATGGGCATATTAAATATTATTAAAATGAAGAAGACTGTAAATTAACTAACATAGCTAAAGAAGTTTGCTATTTCATCACGTAAATATCGGTGAAATAAAACAGGTGATTCTATGATGATTTAAATCTTATTAAACCTGTATATATAGTCATAGTTAAATAAATTGGTTTATAAAATAGTTTCATTTTCCTGTCTAAAAAATCTAAAGGTACAAAGAATTACTTTACTGATTTGGACTTTTTTTTAATAAAAAGTGATAATCACCATCTATTATTACTTTGAATATTTAATACATCTTTATTTCTTTTTAATACCTATGAAAATATTCAATTTTTTAAATATAATATATTTAAATTTTTTATTAATTTATATGAAGAAAATTTATTAATAATTATAATCAAAAAGAACTTTAAAAACTTAATTTGCTTTGTACTCATTCTATTTTGCTACACTTTTCATTATCAATGCTATTCTATATCAATTCATAAAAGATATTCTTATTCTATATTTGATGCTCGATGTAAAGTTTTCAATTGTTGGAGGAATCAAAAACTTTATTGTTATTAGAGTTTTAAATAACCATATACCATATATTTTCTAATATTTCTGATAGTGATATTTGTGATCTAATTCTAATTGAAACAAAATTTACTTTGAATTTTGGTTTAGAGACCATATTGTGTTTATTAACTTCTATATATAAGCTAAGTAATATTAGTTGTCAGTTTGTTGTAAATAAAAATTATGCTTTTCGTTTAAGTGGCAAAATAAGTACGACTATAAAAACTTGAAGGCCTGAGACATTATTAAAATTATCCATCACATTGCTTTATAATATAATTTTTTTTTATATATGAATTAGATTTGGGAAAAATAGTAGCAGAATTATAAATGAAAATTCTAATATGTATCTTTCAACCCATTCATGAAGGAATCTGATAAAGTAAAATAAAATCATAAAAAATCAGTAAAAAATTATTTGATCACTATGTGATACGATTGAACCCATTAAAGGGAAAAAAATTTACATTTTCTTACGAAGCAATCAAGCTGGAAGAGGATCCTAATTATTAATAAAGAATTTAATAAAATTTAAATAAATTTTATCTTTCAGCCTATTTTCACCCTAAAACTAGCTTTCTATTCTAAAAAGAATAAAGGAAGATCAAGTATTCAAATGCATTTTTACGATTAAATATTAACTACGTGGTTAAATAGAAGTGAGTTATGAACATAAATCATGAATTGTAACGTAATTTTAATAGCAAACATCAAAAATCCTCAGATATGTAATATTTGATTATAATTGTTATCTATACTATATGGGTATGAATAAGTCTTAATCCAATCACATCCCAAATTCTATTCCTTAAACCAATATTTTAACAAACAATATCATCATAATTAATGAGTTATGTAAGTGAGATATTGATTAAGATACACTTAAAAATATGTTATAAATTAAATGTATAAATATGGAATATAGGTTTTTAAATAAAGTATGGATTTGGGATGGGATAGGATTTTATATGGGCAGCAACTATACATTTGAACAATAGAATTCTAACATCTAACTCTAACTAACTCTGACCCTAACCCTACCTAATTCTAACTGTAACAAATAAATATGTGACAAATAAGATTTCACCACACAAAAAAAAAGTTTCCTGAATAAATAGTAAAACAGAAACTTGAGAGGATCTTCTCAGAAAATTTTTTCACTCCCACGTGACCTCAATAATTTGTCACCCTGTGTCACACCCTCAAGTTTTCAATTTTTACTATATATTTCAGGAACAGAGAATTTTTCAATGTTTAAAAACCTATTTGTCACACCATATTCGTCACATGACAATTTCATAATTTTGTAATGCCGGCCAAAGGTGAAAAAAATTTCTAGCGATACTGGAGTAGATCTTGAGAGGTGTGATAAGACATGATAAATATTTGATTATAATTACGTATCTGAGGATTTTTGACAGTGATCCTGAGAAAGATAGCAAACCTCTCAACATGATGAGTAGTATTTGACAATATCTTTTTTTTAACTTCTTTAATAATTTCTCATATTCATACAAAAGAATTTTGTTGCCTTGCAGTTTGTAAAGTTGTAGTAATACTTTATATTGCCTAATTTATTAGAATGTCCACTATAACGTTATTCTGCTTCTATATACAACTAGTTTGAGTTAACTATTCCTAAGTGTTTTAAGTCAAGTTTGATTTTATTAATGTGAGTTTGAACCATCGAAGTTCATTGTGATAAGTCCATAGATAACAAGAAAATTTTTTTAAGGAATAATTATAAGTTTATTTTATGAAAAAAATTTCTATCTTTCTTTCTTTTTAATCAAGGTAAAGTAAATCATCAAAAAGATAATGGCTCTAATAATTAGTTTAGTTTGTGGATCTATTTTTAAGTTAGATAAACTACTACCAGCTGGTTTAGTTATTTTGCTTATCAACTTTTCTATTTTCTCATCTAAACTTATAATTTTTTGCTGAATACCACTTCTTTGAGAAACAAGGGTAGCAATTTCACTCTGAATTTGGATTTTCTCTTATTCAGGAGTATTTGGATCATTTAGTTTATTCTGTTTTTGAGCAATTTGCTGGTCTAGATTATTCAACTGACTAGCATTACTATTTTTTTCATCTTGCAAGTTTTTTATCTCATCTAATTTCTTATTCTCATTAATCTGCTTTTTTACATCTGCATCAATAGCGATTCTGACTAGGAAACCCATACCTCTAAAAATGGCTAAACTAGCTCCACTGGTGTCAGGAGTGGATATTTCTACTGATTTTCAATTTCATTAAATTAAAATATTCATAATCAAATGTTTATTTTTGAATCAATCTACAAAATTAAGTTATGAAAAAATTTATTATTTATTTTTTAGCATTTCCCTTGAATAGTTGTCTCATGAATCAAGTGAAACATACAGTAAGTATCTTACTTATATTGACAAAAAAATATTAAGGAATTGAGCAGACGTGAAAGGAAATTTAATTGTGATACAGTAGCGGTCATAAGTATCCGACCGCCTCTAACTCCGGCTACAAGTAAGTAAATTCAAAATTTTTTTTTTATT